AGATGCTGGCGAAACGCTAGGAAACAAAACTTCCAGAACACGGCCACACAGCCCGGAAGACCCACACCAGCCATCATATTCTGGCCGTGAAAGCCTTCGACGATACATTAGTCAGTGGAGAGCTTGTCTGTCCATGCAACAGAAGAACGTGGTGCAGGAGATATCTGCCACCAGGGCAGACTCTGTTCTTAGACAGAAAGAAGCAGTTGCTGTAGATATTAAGAGGACTAGAAATTGGACAGTGTTATATATTACATGATCTGCTCATCCACCTTAGGCAGTGGAAACGGATCTTCTATTAATAGAAGCAAATATGTGTAGCTCTTCTATTATCCAAGGTGTAAAGTTCAACTGCTGTTCTAGCCAGCTTCTGCATTCTCTGTCCTTGATCTCAAGCAAACGTCTGTCTTGGTCCAGGCCTGTTGCCATATAACTTTGACTGTGTAACTCTTTCTCCAGAGTTTTAGACAGAGGTCTTCTTGGTCACCTGCCGTCTGAGATCTTTCTCTTGGAGATGCCAGGGGTTGTCGTTTTTGGCATGGAAATTAGTGCTCTGCCATTGAGTCCCATAACTCTCCCTTACACTTAATACCTGGCAGCTGAATGTCTAATTGATCATTTTGAAAAGTTGTTATATACCAGGTGGCCCATTCACATAGGAAGATAACTACTTATTATAAGAGGCCTCAAGTAATGAATATGCATGTACTAGCCAGCCCAAGAGTTTTCAGTTGCTTACATTTTTTTGTACAGTGATAGTCCTTAGTTGAAAAATATACAGGAAGAGATGGTTTAGGGAAAAAACGGGGGGGGGGGAGGCCGCAGAAATGATTGACCTCCCAAGCTACAACATTACAATTTACTTCATGCAGAGAAAGCTTTTTAAAAAATAATAGGAACAGATACTGGTCATCTTATATTACAGTAATAGTTTAACTACCACACAGGTGGCCCTATGTACAGTATAATAAATAATTTTTTCAGTATATTTCTTTGCATATCTGGTATCAGTTGCTTGCAGGCTAACTGTACATGAGCTCATTCTCAAAAGAGCTCCATGCTTTTATTACAGTGTTCCTGTGCTTTGAATTAAATGAAAATATGCCATACTTACATAAACAAGAAAGGGGAAGCCATACAACTAAGTTTTGTTTTAGTTTTTATAAAGGAAGCATTGCAGTGAGGAAGTTGGATGCTCTATACCAGTGTTTCTCCAGCTTGGCAACTTTAAGATGTGTGAACTTCCTCCCAGAATTCCCCAGCCATGCTGGCTGGGGAATTCTGGGAGTTGAAGTCCACACATCTTAAAGTTGCCAAGTTGGAGAAACACTGCTTTGTACCTTTTGAAATTCTATATCAACATATTGGTTTGATGGATTCTCTTGAATCACTGCTTTACTTGGGAAATAAACTATGTTTTTCTCCTCAGGGGACATTTTGTTCTGATGATGTTAATGAATGCCAGATTTATGAGGGAACACCCTTAGGCTGCCAGAATGGAGCGACATGTGTAAATAATCCGGGTAGTTACAGGTAATTCTAATGATCTTGTGGGCAGTCCTTTGCACAGAACATCCATCCCAGTCAGTAGAATAGCTAGATAGGAAGATACCCACAGAAAAATGCCCTTCTATGCCCTCCATAACAGGACAGGTTCATTTTACCAATCCCAAAATATATAATTTGACCTTTTTCACCATACATTTTTATCTTGATTTATAGACTCAGTAGACTTTTCAAGAAGATCCAGTAGACTTTTCAAGACGTCTAAATATGTGCCCTTCCCTTCCTTCACACTGACAAATAACACAAAACAGAGGCCTAGACACAAATACCACAACACACGCACAGAGTTGGTATCAACATATGACGTCCTTGCCTCTCAACGGGCTGGCATGGCTGATCACCAATAACCACCTCTGTACTCCTTAAGAAAGTTTTAAGATCAGATTCCAGAGATTTAGTCTTATTGTTCTCATTTTCCCCAGTGCCCATACCAGACCTCTGAGCAGCATCAGGAGGTAATTCTCACCATTCTTTTAATTTCGTACCATATTCCAGAATCAATACCATGAAGCACACCAGGAAGCTGGAACAAACATTTTCTTAAATTTCCCAGAATAACTTTGACCCACATGCCTAAGCAATATCTGGAGACTATATTTGGTGTTCTTGTAAATTCTCACAATAGGATCGATCCATTGTAAGAAGTAAAAAATACAGCAAGGCTCAGCTGCTTAGCCCCGCTTGGAATGCTGTCATTACCTTCAAGTTATCTATGCCATGACTCAATGACAGAAGGGTCTCTTCTAACTAGATAGACACAACTTCCCTTCCATTCTGGGGAGAGGAGGTGGAAATGGGTACATGGAAGAAACTCAGTGTGTTCTGTTCTGTATGTGTCTAACCAATGTCATATATTGCATTACACATGCCTTCTATATGTAGAAAGCAAAGAGGAAAGTTTTCAACTCTTCAACAATAAATAAATTACTCAATGTTCTCTCATTATTTTCTCAGTCCTACCCAGTTTTGTTCTCCAGAAAAGCATCTGACTTGTCCTTTTCTTTACAGACAGGTCTCCAAAATCTGGGAGAGATCTTGTTCATTGGTCCTGATTCATGTTTTGTTAAAAAATGACTGGCTGATAAAACTTCCTAGCAAAACTTTTCCAATGAAAAGCATTTTCTGCTTGACATTGGAATAATATACTAATAATAGCTTTAAAAAATCATTTCTCTCTATGAATACTGAACTGATATTCTTTTTGTTTTAGAAAGTTTTGCTATAGCTTAGAAATTCTTATACAAATTAAGCAATGGCAACTTTAATTCTCCTCAATTGCCAACATATACTTAGAGATACTTTTTTTGGTCATTCAGACGTTCTCAGTACTGTCAGTTTTAAAATTAAGACCCCTACAATAATAAACTATAGAACAATAGAAGGTAATACCAACCAAATTGCTATTTGATCCTATCTGACATCTTTCCAGTCTCTGTCTGAAGTCTTCTAGTGAGGGATAACTTAGAATAAAATAAAATAGTGTATGAATAAAATAGGTAAAAGAGAGAGAGAGAAATAACCCAGAGCAAATAGATTGCTCTGTCAGTTCATCAGTACCATCTTTCTAATCTGGGAGAAGCTACTGTTCCTTTAGGGTAGAGTTAGGCAAACTTTCTTAAGTTTAGAGCTATGTTCTTGCACTGTTGAGAGTACTTGATGGGAGTCACTGAAGCAACTAGTGAGTGGTTCAGAACCACAAGCAGGTGAGGTTATCTATTCTGAGTCCTCCTTCTTTTTCCTCATAACTCTTTTTCTCCTTCTAATTCTTTTTCTTATATCCCTTATTTTTTCCTCCCCCCACCCAGCCAAGGGAGAACTTGTTTGCTAAATCAATTATTATTAGAAGCCTAAATTGATCTCTCTTAATGGTTTTTGAAATTGGGTGAAGAGCAGCATGAAAGTTGGCCAAGGTTCACAAGTTACTCACCCTGTTTAGCTAACTGTGTCAAGCCCCAAGCAGCTGGGTGAGATCAAGGAAGCAGGATTTCACTGAGGTATCTTTAATCCTAGTCTAGGGTAAATACAGAATCTTAGCAACTGTTCTAAGATTTTCCCATCTTCATTCATAGTAAGGTGAAGTCTCTTTGAATGATTTGAAACACTTCTTCCCAGCCTTCCCCTAGGTTATGTTGCTGTTTGTGAGATATCAGCTGATTTACCTACTGTCTTTTGATTATGTCTGCTCTCTCTTCCATTCCTTTCCAAGCCTCCCCCCAATTTCTTATAAATTGGTTCAATGATTCAAACCATTCTTACTATCAGGTTTTTACTATGAGTTTACGAATGTTCAGCTGCAAGCAACTCTCTTAGAATTTAATCCAGTTAGGCCGGCCATATCTCCTCTGGTAGCAAAAGGTCCTTCTTTGCTTTTTTCTGTGAGACCATCTCTCATTTATGAAGAAGACTCCTGAATCTCAGTCTTCTCACCTCTAGGCTAAATCTATTATTAACTGTGTCTAATATTTATTCCTATATGAATAACCAGCCTTGTTATCCTCTTCTGGACCTGTTCCAGATTGTCTTTGTCTTCTTTAAAATCCAGAACTTGATACAGTACTCCAGATGAGATACAACTCATGAGAAAAACATGGTCTAACAATAGCTATTATGTATGAGAGATAATAGCTCTATATTCAGGGGATCTTATGCACCTTGTTTCCAGATGTTGGAACAAAGAATAGGCATGGATGTTACTCTCTACACTTTCTCGGGGGGGGGGGACTGCTGTTAGAAACCAGATGGACCTTTGATCTTCATTATTTTAGGTGTCAAGAGAGTTGAAATGTTTGAATAGGGAATTCAAAGCAACTGAATGAACACAGCTGTAAAAGTAAAACACATGCTACATTATCATACTTGAATGGTAGTAATGCAGGAAAAGAACATCTAAAAGACTTGTGGCTCACTAAAGAATAACAAATCTACTGCAGCATGACTTCCACTGAGTTACGGCTCCCTAAAGTTCACGCAGTGGGTGTTGTGCTCCATGAATCCCTGAGCTTTATGCCTACAGGACCATAGAATCACAGATTTACAGAATGGGAAAGAACTTTGGAGGCTACCTCACCCAGCTTTATGCTCAGTGCAAAATATCAGATGCAGAATGCTATTATAGCACCTCTGACAAAAAGCATTTAGCTTCTGCTTAGAAATTTATCACAGATAAAGGCTTCTGAAAAGCCCCTTGAGAACTGTTGCCATTCAGAGTAGATGATGATAATGGCCAGGACAAAGCAGTTTAATCTGAACATATTAACTTCTGTCAATATCAGCCGATGTAATAAATCCATTTATCATTGGAAAATCAATGAGATAAATGCACTCTCTTTTGTACAAGAGGACTGATCAAATTATTTCCATTGAGTTTCACATACATTACCTCATAAGTTCCTTTCTGTTTCTCCATCAATCTGCATTTCCTCGTGAGATGGGCGGTGTCTAAATTCGAAATATAAATAAATAAATAAATTTTAAATGTATTCTTTTGCATTTAACATCCTGATATTTTTATTTTTTTAACATAAAACGTGTACATTCTTGTTTTTAAGCTAATACCTATATTATAATATTTAGAAAGAGATGAAAACTGAAAAGTAACTGTATTTCAGTTATTTAAAAGTGACCGCTGAACAAAGCCCTCAAATATCCTAATTACTTTTATAATACTAAAGATATTATCAATAACATGAAATGGTACAGCATTCCCGTTAAGGTACTCCACTATAGATTTTTTTTTCAGTAATATGAAATAGGAAACATTCTAGCTAAGAAAACATTATTGTTGCAATCAAGTAGGAATGATCTTTAAGAATATCATGTTCCATTTCAAAGTTTAAAAATGTTAAAATGAAGAAGGGAAAACTTATCAAGTCATTCATTCATTCATTTCATGACATAATGCACGTACTATAGGGAACAGGTTTTTGCTAAAAGGTCTGCTTTCAAAACCCTTAATCTGGACAGTTTGAAAGCAGTTGTATATTAATTTGTTATTAATATACATGAATAACAAAAGTAATTTATTCCATTTCAAGGGAGTTCTGTTTAAGCAGAATTTGAAGTTCTGCAACCTGCCTGAAAAGGCCATTTATTTTGGAACTGCATACTTTTATTTTATTATATCTACGTTAGGCCAAATGGTGGGAGATAGGAAGTTAGAGAATGCTTATTTATAGAGGCTGATTAAGGTACATCTATCAGGAAGTAAGACTGCTGTCGGAAACTAACAATCTGTTAAAGAAAAGCTATTTCTTTGATTACAGAGGAGAGTAGTCAAGCATGAAAGCTTTTGAAAGCTTTTTGAAACCTGGGTTAATCAGTAGCACTTTACCAGAGGCAGTATGCAATAACCCAGGTTAACTTGCATTTAATATATCAAGCCAAGCAGTTAATGGAACTTTCTGAAAAGTTAATAATCCAGCTTTTGGCTGCTGCTGAAACAGAAATTGTGGAATGCACACTTTCAGTCAATTCTCCCAAGATTTAAGCGTCAGAGACTAAATAGTATTATGAAAGTTGGATGTTATATAGTCGTATATTTATTATTAACCTTTATATATTTTGTACTTACCATTGGTCCAAAAGTTTCTTATATAGTCCAAAACACCAGAAATCTGGTGCGGTAATGTTTTTCATCAGCGGATCAATACTCTGCTATTGTTACAAGCAGGAAGTTACTTTGATGGATTTGAATGAAATCAGGTTGATCTGTAGGTTTTAAAATTTCCTTCATCTTCCTGGATTCTTAAAAAGGTGTGGTGGCAGGGAGTTCCATCTATCCACAGAACCCCAAAAACTGAATCAGGAGGTGAGATTTTACCTACCTACCTATCTACCTACCTACCATGCTGTTTCCTTTTGAGGAAAAACATTGTGCAGAGTGCACAGTGCAGAAAAAGAGCAAAAAGAGCAAAAACAAAAACCACCAACCAGGATTTAATCAGTCACATTTAACAGATTAATTCTCCTGTAGGTTTGCGCTCACTCTTGCTACCTTTTCTGTTGTATAGGAAAATGGTAATATCATTCTTCTAATTGCCATGTATACATGCAGTTTTCATATGCATGCTAGATATATCACACTAACTTATGGATTCCTAATTTACTATGTACCCACAACAACCTAGGTGACATCAGTTCATACATTCTGACAAACAATTTAGCCCCTTCATACATAATTTAACCTACACCTTCACTTGTCTGCAGGTATTTAACAATTCCACTCTACAGGACCATCATCATCATCATCATCATCATCATCACCATCATCATCATCTAACAGTAATAATAATCTGATCCTTCATTCTGATATGCCCAGAATTGCTGGGAGTCAGGCAGTATATAAATTTAATGAATAATTATTATTATTTATTTTATTATTTTTTATTTTTTATTTATTTATTATAATTGTAATTTAATTACAGAATGAAGGATCAGACCACCTTCATTCAGAACTATTACATTGTTCCCCTTGCTCTTAGTTCAGAAATACAGAACATTTTTCTTTAATTCGTTAGCTCTTTTTACATTCTTCCATATGATATGGTCATCACCAGATGGCCCATAAGTATTGACCTCTGCTGCCTACCATGCCTTTGGTCAATCAAGGTTTCATGTATCATTTTATTGTAAGAAAAGATTTAGACTAGGTTAGCAGCCTGACTTATACCCATGTCCATGTCACATTTCTTACTAATGGTAAGGATAGTACCAACTGGCTTAGGCATATGTAATTTTGTATGCCTAAGCCAGTTGGTACTATCAGTATGGTACAAATGTAACCAAAGTCCATTTTTATCCCAAGCATGCTCATCCTATTCCATGCAAGACATGATTTCAAATATAGAGAAAAGCCAACACACTGTTGTCTACATTTTACCAATCTGGAGATACAGGCCATTTACTGACACACTTTATTCTGGTACACAGTCACCACAGCATACATTCTATGTGCACTGGGCAAGGGCTGGATGCTATTACTCTGGCTTTATGTAGTTTGTTTTATAAATGTGGTTTTAAAAGGTTCACTAATGAACATGCATGCATGCATGATTATATATAATACAGGTAGTCCTCACTTACCACTCATTCAGCAACCGTTCAAAATTACAATGGTGCTGAAAAAGGAGACTTATGACCAGTCCTCAGAGTTGCAGCTGTCACAGCATCCCCACAATCACGTGAGTGTAATTTGGGTACTTGGCAACTGGCACACATTTATGACCGTCGCAGCATCCCATGGTCACGTGATCGCCATTTGCAACCTTACAGCCGGTTTCTGGCAAGCAAAGTCATCAGGGAAGCCAGCAGGAAGTCGCAAGTCATGGTCACATGATGTCATGCTTAATAACCTGCAGTGATTTGCTTAATGACTGCAGCCAGAACTGACAAACCTGACATTGTAAGTCAGGGGTGGCCATGTGATGCTTCACTTTATGACTGCATCGCTTAGCGATGGAATTGCTGGTCCCAACTGAGGTTGGTAAGTGAGGACCACCTGTAATGCAAACACAACATGAAACTGATTGTTTGAATCAAAGTCTGTAATGGAATGTGAGAATGACCTTGGAGGACGTGTGTGTGTGTGTGTGTGTGTGTGTGTGTGAGATGCTGCCTAGGAAATGATCAGATAAAAGGGAGAGGTGCCTGCAACTGAGTAACGGGCAGAGAAAGAAACTTAGAAAGGATCTGCCTTAACTGATCAGGCGGTGAAAAGAGATGGTGGGAGATTTGTACTTTCAGACTTGCAAGATTCTGTTAACGTAGCCTTACAATAAAGTAGAATTAGATCATCTTGTCGTATTTCCTGTCTGGTCTACTTGGGAGGCTGACAAAGTCATATATTGGACACACGAAAGGAATATTTGTATCAGTTCATTTTTTCTTTCAAAAGTTGCATCTGTACACCAGAAACGTATGGACAACACTGCACATCCGAATTTAACGATTGTCAAGGAGGATCTTCTCCCCTTTGTGGACATGGGGTTTGTGTGGATGGAAAGAGAGAACAGCTCAACCAGGTAAGCAAGAGAAGCCTCATATCAGGAATCTGCCAGGGATGCTTTATTTGGGATTCCTGCACTGTGTAAGGAGTTGGACTCAATTGCCTAAATGGCTTTTTCCAACTCTTTGACAGGTACAGCAATGCAGTTTGGCCGAATATAGTAAGAACTGAGGCTTACAACCCTATTCACAATTTCCTGGATGTAAGTCCCATTCAGTTCAACTGTCCTTTCAATTCTACTGAAAACAATAAATCCATTGTCTTCCATTATCTGTGGGACTTAATCAAAAATAACCTTAGCTGGCCTGGAAATAACAACATTTTGATTTATATTCATTTGGCTAAACAGGCCCATTTAGCAACATTTTCTATAGAATATCAAGGTCAACCTCCTGCATCACCCCAAAAAAAGCTGAAGAGGAAGAAGGAACCTTCAGTGAATGAGATCTCCGTCTGCAGAAGGTATTTCTGCCTGATTCTGGAGGACCTCTGTCTTTCCTCAGCATGAGGATGGGTGTACATAACCACATCCCATCTTATTCAAGAAGTCCCCTGATTTTCTCAGTAACATTTGGGGAAAATTCTGCAGGTTGCAGGAGGAAGGAGGGGACAGGAAAGTTTGCTTTCAGAAATGGTCTTCCATGTGATATTGACTATTATCCTGCTGCGTAAAGGATTCCCCAGGTCTCACTGTTTTGTGACAACATTTTAATATGGACATTTTCTTAGCAGTTCAACATTTCCTTTGTTTTAAATGGCTACAAAATGAACAGCATTCATAGTTTGTGTAAAACGTATGTCTCCAAAATGCCTTGAGCTCTTTACAAGCGATATCTTATTTGTCCTTGTAATTCTACAACAGGGGTGATTTCAAAGGGTATCACTGTATTATTTGCCGTGTAGTAGAATCTGCGCTTTGCCTTCATTTATGTACTGATGTCTAAATCAGGAACCGTTTAATAGGCCTGCAAGTCATCTTACAATAACATACAACAGAAACCAAAAGATCCAACTACAATTAGGCTAATCACAATCTTTAAAAGAGTGCAAGTCTTGTTCCCCAAGACTCTTACTCAGAACCCTAGGCACAGTTTCAAGAACACAGCTCTTTGACAAGCTACCTTGATTATACATACTAGAAAATTCAGATTCCTAGGAGAATGCATGCCTCCATGTGTGTGCGTGCGTGTCTTTCTCTCCCCATCTCTATCTGTATTTGGGTGTACATGTGTGTGTGTGTATAAACCTGTTTTTGGACACTCAAAGCTACCATGTGATCTGAGCTTCCTTTGTCCTCCTGCAAGATTGCTGAAATCTCATGAGAATTGCATCATTTTTAATTTTCTTTAAATTATTTTTAAAAATTCAGTTGAGAGGCTGTGAGCACTCTAGATGCTGGCCCTATGGATCCTGGGTTTGCCAGCCCCAAACTTAGGATTTTAGTGGTCCAAACCAACACCTCAGATTAACCCCATGTACATTAAAAAGGAAGGAAGGAAGGAAGGAAGGAAGGAAGGAAGGAAGGAAGGAAGGAAGGAAGGAAGGAAAGAAAGAAAGAAAGAAAGAAAGAAAGAAAGAAAGAAAGAAAGAAAGAAAGAAAGAAAGAAAGAAAGAAAACAAGGCCAGAATTTAGATCTGAAACACAACCCCAAACTTTGGTCCCCATATTTCACTTTTGTTCCTTATTTTCTTCTTCCTCCTTCTGAGATCTGCATCTCCCACATATTTCTATTGTATGCTTCCACAATAGCCCTGCTGTACCAAAGTGTATCTGACAAACTGAACTTTGGAAACAGTGTGATGCATGCAAAATTCATATTCCTGTGTGAATGAGCAATTTTTATTTACCAGCTTTCTCAGAATATAACTACACTGTTTGCCAAAAATAAAACAGCTGATGTTCAGATTGGTGTGTTTATATCCACAAGTTCCAGCTGTATTTGTTGTTTTACCTCTATTTAGGTCCATTTCATGATTACCCATCATTTTCTACCTTTTTCTGAGAAAATTATGGGTTTTCTTTTCTTAATATGATAATGATGTCTTTCACTGTGAGAATGCATGAAGCCTTACTTGTTAAAGGAAGAAAAAGAAAAATCTGGGGAAATAAGATAAACCATAGTTGCAACAGAACTCGGTCATACCAAATTGCTATGTGATTGAAGTTTGGCTTGAAATTAGTAATAGTGCAAATAGAAGTAGCTCCTTTAGGAACATTCACAGTTATTTTCATGCTTGCCCTATTTTTAACCTGGCAGCCAAATTATACTTGTATCTGCGATCCTGGCTGGATGTCGCCTCCAGGGAGCCCTGCTTGCAGTGCTGACATTGATGAATGCAGCCTCCCGAGCCCACCCTGCTCAGTGGATCCTCCTGTACAGTGCATCAACACACCAGGCTTCTATTACTGTGGTCCTTGTCCAGGAGGTTAGCAATATTTCATAAATGTCCTTTCTTCTGTTTCTCACTGGGATTAGCACTAGCATTAGAAGGAGTTTCACAGTGTCACCACAATACTTCAAACCAGGCCCTTCTTTCTGAGAATGTTGCCTTCAAACATTATATGCCTTTGTTTGGGGTATTCCTTCAAAAACAATAGCACTTCATATGAGAACTGGAGTGGCCTTGTCTTTGCAAAAGAATGTAACTCCTGTTTGGCCACTTTCAAACATAATACTAACCAAGAGAAAATGACCATGGGTTTCATAGATCCTATGAAAAGAGACAGGAATGTTTAGCTTTGAGAAGTCAAAACTGAGCGGGGGGGTGGGGGGGGGGTAGGATTCTTCAAATACCTTGGAGGAAGTCACACAGAAGAAGTCCGAGACTTGTTCTCCTATAATTCCAGAGTCCAAGACAGAAAATATTGGATTTAAGAGGTTACCAAAAGGTAGATCTTGAATGATTTTTTTTAACCTAATTGTAAGAGCAATTTGAAAAGAGTGGGTTTTCATTTCACTAGAACTGTTCACACCAAGGATGGAATTTCCTTGTCTGAGAGGCTTTAATTTAAATTTCTGCACTCTGGAGAGGGTTGTACTCTGATTTTAATGGCTCCCTCCAACTGTATGATACTGGGACAAAATATAATTTAAATTAAATTAATAAGTTAACATGATGACTGCTACTTTTAATCTTTGTCACACTAAAAATGATTGTTCAAAAGCTGCTTTTAAATAAATTAAAGACTTTTTGTGTCGGGGTGCAGATTACATCTGTGTTTGAAGAATTTATTTCTGTGGCAGCTGAAGGGGTACATATTACTGTATCTTAAGCTGTAGTTGAAGATTACCAATTATTTGCATGCTCTGTTTATGGAACAGGTACCAATCCTTGACCCTCATGGACATCAGGATAATGCTCCTTGTTAATGCATCTTGTACAAGAACTGGTATTTTGGCAAAGATACAAGGATGTCTTGAATCAATGAAGTGCAGTATTTGATACAAAGTCATAAGATTTGATTCTGCTCACCACACTTCTTCCTGATTTATACACTACTGTAGATTAATTTAAATGGCTTGTGTTCATGTCAGGGAAATCTGAGCCCCTTCCTAGGCTGCAAAAACCTGTGAAACAATTTGTCTCTGACAAAGACATAGCTTCCCTCAACACTGTTGTCTAAGAATACAAGAGAGAGATTTATTCTCACTTCACCATCAGATGACATCCCTGCTTGATAACTTCACTGTTTTCTTTACACCAGGCTATGAAGGTGATGGAAAAGTATGCACACTGCTTAACATATGCTCAGTCAACAATGGGGGTTGCCATCCACTTGCTGCATGCAACAGCACATCAGGTAATACTGAAACAACAACACTGGGTTTGTATGAAGGCTGTAACTAGCCAGCAAAAACATGTCCTTTCCTCATCTAAAATAGTGTTTCTCAAGTTCTACAATTTAAAGATGTGTAGACTTCAACTCCCAAAATTCCCCCCAGCATGCTATAAGTCCACACATCCTATAAATGGTTGAGGTTGAGAAACACTGATCTACTAGACAAGATGGTACCCAATTTCCATACCATGTACAGAAGCTGGCAGTTAATCTTAACTTCAGGTCTACTGAACTGAGAGTTGTAGGAGGCTTACTTAGAGTGCATGGGACAGGCCACATAATCGGCACAACTGTATCCTTCAGGTGGGCTAGCCCTCAGCCAAATGGTAGAGTCAGTCCTCAGGGCTGATCTCTGATGAGCTCTCAGTGAAAAGGGAAGATTACAAAATTGAACTAGAGCTGAGAATCCTGCTTCAAATCCCCACTCAGCCAGAAGGCATATTAAGTGATTTGCTACCTTCTGTCTAATTTGTCATAAAGGCTTAGGAGGGTAAAATAGAGGAAGGAAGAAAACCATGTTTACCTTTTAAGCTCCTTCCACAGCAGGTGGGGTTTAAATGTGGCAAATAAACTGCAAATCAAAAAAGGTATTGCTCAAAATATACAAGTGAAGGATGCTGGAAGAGTTTTACTGTATATGTGTATGCTTTGCTTTAACTTTTAATTTCATTTTAATCCCTTACTTCAGTGTTTCTCAACCTTGGCAACTTGAAGATGTGTGGACATCAACGTCTGGCTGGGAAATTTTGGGAGCTGAAGTCCACACATTTTAAAGTTGCCAAGGTTGAGAAACACTGCCTTACTGGAACCTCCCCATCCTGATGCTTTCCAAATGTACTGGAGCAATAACTCCCAGGAATGTAGATCCTAAACATCTGGGGGGCATCCGTTTTGTAACCTTTTAGCTTCAATATGGAAGGAAGAGGATTCTCTTCCAAAACTCATAGAGATTCCTATGGAACTCTAGGGCTCTCCATCTGTCTTATAAGAGAAAGAATCTGTCTTATAAGATTGAAAGAATCTTCTTTTCAGTCTCGAGGAAGCCAAGCAGGATCCTTTATTTATATCTTTGATTTAATTTATACCCCACCTATCTGTCCAGCTGCTTTGTCTTCTCCTGACTGGGCCATGGGCTCCCAGGTGGCTGCTCTCAGATAGACAACTGACTGCCATCTCCCATTTCAACTGCAGCTTTGTGCTCAGGGCCAGCCAAAAACACTGTACTACATGAGGAAGTACAACGTGTTGTATCTCCTAGCACCTGCTCTTGCAAGTCAAGGCTTATAAAACACAAGGTAACCCAAGTTACTTTGGCAGGGACTAAGGGAGAAAATTTCAATAGCACCTCCATTCCTCTTTTTAATAAAAAAAAATACAGTAATAATAGTATTAAATAACTGACATATAGCTATCCTTTTAAAATGATCCATATTGGTTGATGTGGCTACTCACTCTGGCTGGTCAGACATCTGTCCCTTCGGTGTTTCCCATTACTCTCTTCTTTGTTCACTGCTCTGGTTTCTTCATTCTCTGGCATGGATGCCACTTTAACATCTGGGTACTCTCAGATAATGAAAATGTGTGATGTTGTTAAAGTAGCAATGTAGAAAATAAGGATGCCAAAAACCATAATTACCAAATTCATATGGTTGTTTTGACTTCCTCCCTTTTTTATTTGCAGGCTTTGTACCTAATTGTGTTTGCCCAGATGGCTATACCGGGAATGGTTATGGTTCAGATGGATGTTTTCTCCTAAGCACTATATGCCAAACACACAATCCTTGTGTAAATGGACAATGCCTTGTATGTGAAACAGTGAAGATTTTTTATTTTGCATAAAGTATTAAATATTCAGTGCTGATATTAAAGATTGATTATATATGACTTGTAATTTCTGAGACCACATACTGTAATCTTATCTATAGATATCTAAAATGTTATTGGTCAATGTATTACTATTATATGAACTTGTTGTTGTTGTTCAGTCGTTAAGTCGTGTCCGACTCTTCGTGACCCCATGAACCATATTGCGCCAGGCCTTTCTGTCCTACTGTATTATTATGCTAATATTATATTACAATGTATTATTGTATTAACTATGCTATTATAGAGTATATTCGTTAGTAATTCCCAATAGCTGTATTCACACATAATGCCTGGATTCACACATTGCACTAAGCCAGGAGTAAGCCAAGCTTAATTGTTTAAACCAGCAAAGTTATTAAGGCTTCTTTTTTGCCAATGGCAAAAAGAAATGGTCAATCTGAAAGGAAATCAACCCTGATTGCTGATTGGAAGGATTGATAATGAAGCTCAAGCTCAGATAC